GTGAAGCCTGTTGATTTAATATATTGATTTTCGTCTCGTGTTTTGGTGAGGATTCATTGTTAGCCTATATTGAGTTATATTATGATATATCGTATTTTCTATAAAAACTATGAACTGGTAGACTATCCGATGGATGACGATAGGATGCTAGAACATGTTTTAGAAACCCCTCTTTATAGTATAGACGATGGATGACTTTATACTATGAAGTGGTTATTTATGAGAGGCGTAACTATTTGTGCGTACCTAGTAGACACTATGCCGCCTGGGGCGAGGAACTGGTGTTGGCATTTAGGCCGGGATAAATAATCCCTAGCTACGGGTTGAGGGACATGGAGCAGGTATTGGGCTGAGAGTTGGTAATCTCTGGCTACGGGCGCAGAGACCACGGAGCAGGCATTGGGCTGGGAGTTTATTTATTCAGTGATCTTTCTAGCAGCACACCGCGTTTACGAGACGATTTATGATACGTTTACTGTTTTGATTTCCGCGATGCATTTCTGCGATATGGCTTTTGAGATATTTGGTATGCTAGGATTTTATTAAATCCATCACTTATTATGCTAGTAGTTTTCATTATTAAACTGTGGGGGTTAGTATCTTGATAACTGTTTTATTATTATTATATATATGAACTTGGTCCACTCACCTTTGTTTTGCGCCCCCATTCAGGACTTAGGATCAAGACATCTAATCCCAGCGTCAAGACACTTCCGCAGTAGCATCTTTGAATCCTCTTGATGTAGGACTCACTTCTTTATTCATTCAATTTTATCTTAATTCTTTTTAGTGATTAGATTTAGTTGTATGCTCTAAACACGTTCCTAAATTGTTAATTCATTGTATTTTAAATTCATAACCCTTATTTATTTCTTATTCTTAGCTTTTGTATCAATTAATGGCTTTCGTCACCCTCGGGTGTCGGCCAGCACGTGTCTATCCTGGTATTCGGAGAATATCAGGGTAGGGGCGTATCACTTATTAATCACACAGTCGCAGACTCCCCACCGATATTACCTTCCTTCTCATGGCCAGGCAGCCATGGCTGTCTTCACCACCATCTTCCATCCCCACTTTTAACCAAATCCGTTACCATCGTCTACTATAAATCCATCACTGTTTCTAAGGCTCCACTGTATTTTCTAACAAACGATCCGTAGGCTTTTATTCCTCGTCATAACCATAAGCACTTGTTAAGAAAAAAAATTAACAAAAAATTCTACACTAGCCATGTGTTTTATGAAAGTTTACAATCACTTATTTAATGCTTAGAAATACATGCTATTCCGATAAAAAGGCTGGAAACTAATGAACAAAGCAATGACATCAGTTATTTACCCAATCTTTCGTCACTGGATGCCCATATCAATTAAATACTAAGAATAAATATTACTATCTAATAGTTTATTGTATCAAAACAGATAAATATATATAGATATATAAGCAACATGATCAGAAAAAGAAAAAAAAAAGACCATAAATAGGATAGCTGGCTTATAAATAGTTTACCGTATGCTCTCATATGATCATAAAAAATACAAAAAAAAAGAATTATTATTGGGCATCCAATGACCAATGACTTGAGCTAATTAAACAACTCGTTGTTGAAAGCTTGCACATAATACATATATACCCCGTCAACTCTTGATTTGTATTTTGTGGAAGGAGAGAAACTGAGAGAAAGATTATTTAAAGACTAAGAGAAAGATTAATTAAAGACCAAAATAAGCTATTACACTTGTATAATCCAAAGTAACTTTTTCCCCCGATCGAGTTTCCTTTCAAGATCCGGTGTTGTATATATGGATAGAAACTTTCTAAGTTTCACTACAGGATCTACGTTTCAAAAATTACTAGAAGGGAAAGCATCTATATTCGAGTCCTTATTAATCACACAGTCGCAGACTTACCTTCCTTCTCATGGCCAGGCAGCCATGGCTGTCTTCACCACCATCTTCCATCCCCACTTTTAACCAAATCCGTTACCATCGTCTACTATAAATCCACCACTGTTTCTAAAGCTCCACTGTATTTTTTAACAAGCGATCCCTAGGCTTTTATTCCTCGTCATAACCATAAGCACTTGTTAAGAAAATTTTTAACAAAATATTCTACACTAGCCATGTGTTTTATGAAAGTTTACAATCACTTATTTAATGCTTAGAAATACATGCTATTCCGATAAAAAAGGCTGGAAACTAATGAACAAAGCAATGACATCAGTTATTTACCAAATCTTTCGTCATTGGATGCCCATATCAATTAAATACTAAGAATAAATATTACTATCTAATAGTTTATTGTATCAAAACAGATTAAAAAATATATATATAAGCAACATGATCAGAAAAATAAAAAAAAAGACCATAAATAGGATAGCTGGCTTATAAATAGTTTACCGTATGCTCTCATATGATCATAAAAAATACAAAAAAAAAGAATTATTATTGGGCATCCAATGACCAATGACTTGAGCTAATTAAACAACTCGTTGTTGAAAGCTTGCACATAATACATATATACCCCGTCAACTTTTGATTTGTATTTTGTGGAAGGAGAGAAACTGAGAGAAAGATTAGTTAAAGACTAAGAGAAAGATTAATTAAAGACCAAAAGAAGCTATTACACTTGCATAATCCAAAGTAACTTTTTTCCCCGATCGAGTTTCCTTTCAAGATCCGGTGTTGTATATATGGATGGAAACTTTCTAAGTTTCACAACAGGATCTACCTTTCAAAAATTACTAGAAGGGAAAGCATCTATATTCGAGTCCTTATTAATCACACGGTCACGGACTCCCCACCGATATTACCTTCCTTCTCATGGCCAGGCAGCCATGGATGTCTTCACCACCATCTTCCATTCCCACTTTTAACCAAGTCTGTTACCATCGTCTACTATAAATCCATCACTATTTCTAAGGCTCCACTGTATTTTCTAACAAGCGATCCCTACGCTTTTATTCCTCGTCATAACCATAACGACTTGTTAAGAAAAATTTTAACAAAAAATTCTACACTAGCCATGTGTTTTATGAAAGTTGACAATCACTTATTTAATGCTTAGAAATACATGCTATTCCGATAAACAAGGCTGGAAACTAATGAACAAAGCAATGACATCAGTTATTTACCCAATCTTTCGTCACTGGATGCCCATATCAATTAAATACTAAGAACAAATGTTACTCTCTAATAGTTTATTGTATCGAAACAGATAAAAAAAAATTATATAAGCAACATGATCAGAAAAAAAAGAAGAAGAAGACCATAAATAGTATAGCTGGCTTGTAAATAGTTTACCGTATGCTCTCATATGATCATAAAAAATTTTAAAATAAAAAAAAGAGAATTATTATTGGTATTTCAAATTCTCGTTATGCACTCCAAATTTTTATATTTAAAAAAAATACACACTTGTGAGAAATGCACAAGGAAAATTTTGGAATGTTAATAAAATTTCTTTTAAAAATATACATAATTTGAATCATTAGTGTGGACACCATATGTGAACATAGAAAAAAAATACCTATATACTAAAGCATCATCTAACTTATGTAAACAACAAAAAAATAGGAAAACTGCAGCTGGTAGCAATTTGCTTTTATAAATAGAACTAATATAGGTGGCTGAGGGTTCGGAGAAGAGTAGATGAGAGAATTAAGAGGGATGGAAGAGAGAAAGATTTCATATCCCAATTAACATGGCAGCCTGTGGCCTTCTACCACATTAGTGAAGCGGAGTGTTACCCTGCACTACCGTGTGAATTTGAACCCCGTCAACTCCTTAATTTAACATTTAATCAAACAAATCTATCGTTCAACAAAAAGAAAAAAACATGGCTCATAAAAATTCTACCGAAATCAAACAACAAGAAAAATACTTGCTCTGAAATTGAATAGTTTCGATTATAAAATTTCTACTATGAAAATGTGTTTTAAGTGGAGGAATGAGCTCATCTTATGCGGGCACTTCAAGTATTATCTTGCTCCATAATTGAACAGTTACGATTATAAAACTTCTACTATTAAATTATGTTTGTAAGTGGATGGATACTTGTATTATTCTTTGGATAATGTTTGTATCCCCCACGACAGCCTTTGCAGATAATGTATTTTCACCGGATGGTTCTAAAATGGAAGTTCAATTTTTTAATCTTCATTTGAAGATTCTCTCTCCAAAAAATCATTCAAATCTGAGATTGTTTATGCAGCCAAGTATATGGAACAAAATCGACGGTATAAGTATCAAGTTTATAATCATGATGAACCGTCCATTTATTTAATACTTTTGAATGACTAAACAATTTTCAATTTGAATGATTATATATAAAGATTATCTTCAAAAATTAGGAAATATAATGATTTTGATAAAAATTTATATAATAAAGATACATTATTCAGAGAGATGAAATATGCGTCTTTCCTAAAAGAAATGCAAGTATTATCCTTATTCTTTTACCAAATCGTTCGTTACTAAATGAAATCAGCCGTGTTTATATTAATTAAAGACTAACCATTACTACTTTCCTAATAGCTAATAGTTGATAACCACTCTTTAAAAGTATATATTAAATCAGTGTGGACACAAGTTGTGAACAGATGAAAAGGAAACCATATAATTATAAACAATCATTATCAGCTGCTTGCTGGCTTCTTAGAAGAAAAAAGGAAACCATATAATTATAAACAATCATTACCAGCTGCTTGCTGGCTTCTTAGAAGAAAAAAAAAATATTGGGAACACAACAAAATATAGGATAGCTACCACTTAATACCAAGGTCTAAATAAAAAATAAAAAATAAGAATAAAAAACAAAAACCCAAAAAGGATAGCTGACAACTGGTATCAATTTTCTTTTGTACAGTTAGGTGTTGGCTTTATAAGCAAGATAACAGCTGAAGAAGAGCACTTGAAGAAATTAAGAGAGAAGAGAGAAAGAGATCATCCCAACTAAATTATAATTGAGAGAGAAAGGAGAAAGATATCTTTGCAAATACCATGGCAACAATACTACCAAGGTCTTTTGCACTGAAATCAAACAACAACAAAAAATACTTGCGCTACATACATCAACGTATCGAGAATCTTGATGGGCTTGTGCAACTCTCCGAAGAGGATGTTAAGAGCGAGTACGCAAGGTTCCAAATGGAGCCGGCAGACAGCGGTTACGGAGGACTCGTGCATATCAAATGCTGTTTCAACAACAAGTACTTGAGAAGGGCGAGCGATCACCAGTACTGGATTGTAGCTGGAGCTAACGAACCAGAGGAAGATAAAAAACATTGGTCCTGCACATTATTCGAGCCTGTGGTTGTCCATTCAGACAACAAGGCAGTCTTCCGATTACTCCACGTGCAACTCGGGCACTTTGTGACGTCATTCACTGTTAACGACTTCAACCAGTGCCTCTTCGCAGAGAGAAACACCCCCAACCTCCACAACGATATGGATGTGTACACAGTCGTCGACTTGGAACCGCTTGTACTACCGAGCCCTTTTGTGCTGCAATCAAACAACAACAACAGGTACTTGCGCTACATGCTTGATCAAGAAAACAACATTCATCAGATTCTCCAATTCTCCGCACAGGATCGTACGAGCGAGTTCGCACAGTTCCAAGTGGAGCGGGCAAACAGTAGGGACCACCAAAATAATCATTACGTTCATATCAAATGCTTGTACAACAACAAATACTTGAGAAGGATGGACATAAACAGGTCATTGATCCTTGCTGCGGCTGACGATCGAGATGAAAACACAGGCAGATGGACTTGCACATTGTTCAAGCCTGAAAGTGTCGGACCAACCGGCAACAACCACAACAATGTGCTCTGCCGACTACGCCATGTGGCAACTGGCCTCTATACAAAGCCATTTGTTGACAACAGATTAGAATTACGCCTGGGCGAAGAAAACCCTGACCCCCAAGAAGTTGATGTCTACACAGCAATTCGCACCCATACATGATATGATCATGTGATGTTTGTGCATAGTGTCTCAAGAAATCCTCATGAAACTTCACTCGTTCTATCTTAAAAAAATTGTTGCATGAGCTAAATATAACAGTGTATCTAGCAAAAGTGTAATTTTGATTTCTTTTTAGTTTTTAATTATTTCACTGTTGTGTGCGCTAAAGCAATAAACACAAATCCTATCTTTGTGAAAATGTATGTTTTTATTAGTGGGTTTAATAATAGTTCATGCATTCATTAATTATCTTATATTTATATATCTCTACTATTATAAAGCCGAGTGCTCATTTTGGTGAAACAAGCTTCGACAAAAAAATTTGGACTAAACCCCCCCCCCCCTCGAAAACAAAAAAAATTCACAACTGCAAAGGAAAAAAAAGAATATAATCTTAAAGGGAGTTTTCGTACAAAAACATATCAAATAATTAAAGAAAAAAAATTAAAGAGATAAAAACCGGTGGCAGTTAACCGAAGCCAATCCTGCGACTCCACAGGAGGGTAGGATGAAACACAGCGCAATTGTGCTTCTCTAGAGAAAAACAAACCAGCCCTCCCGTTACTCCGGAGGAAGAACCCACCATTGTTTAGGGAAGATGGGTCCCAGATAATTCCCTTTTTTACAAAAATAAAAAAATAAAAAATAAAAGAAAAGATCATCCCCCTTTTTCAAGAGATTGGTGGTTTCACTGTGTAATTACAATCATCTTAGATTATGATTACGTTGTCTAATAGTATTGAGAATTGAGAATGATTGCATATACCCAAAGTAAGGTATTCGTAGAGATCTTGAGAGTATTTGTAGAAAAAGTATTATGTATTAAATCAAGAGAGTATCTAGGAGGGTATCTAGGATAAGACACAATCCTCTTAGATTATGATTATGTTGCCTAATCACCAAGATATCTTAATTTGACATGAACTAGGGTTTTCCTAGTTGGGAGACAAGTAACATCTATAATGGGCATAAGCCTAGTCTTAATGATTAAGGCTGTCTGACTACACTTGGTGTTCTGGCTAATCATTTCCTGAGAGTAGCCTAACTACTTTGATCAGACTAGATTGCTCTTATCTAAACTAAAGTATTCTGACTACTCCGATCAGAGTAGCTTACTCCGACCAGACTAAGTTCATTAGAGTAGCTTACTCCAACATGAATTCGATCAAGGATAATGTAATATTACAGATAATACGCATTGGCTAGCACCTAGTAATAAAATGTGAACTACATGTTCGAGAAATGTATAAAAATTAATGTTAACCAGTTTCTTGAGAATGATCGGAGAACTCTGACAACTGAGAAGCTCTGGCGACTTCAAGCAATTTGATCAGTTTCTTATTTCCACCTATGCGGGCTTCATCAAGTGGATCTAGTTCTTCAAAACAACCTGTTGATCTGGCCGTGGCTGACCAGCGGGACGAAGGCAAAAACAGTTGGTTTGCAATTGTTCAAGCCTGAGTTGTTGGACCTGCCGACAAAGACAACAACAATGTGCTCTGCTAACTACGCCACGTGCAAATCGGTCTCTGTACAAGGTCATTCGTTGAAAGCAGATTAGAACTACGCCTGAAAGAATTAAGTCCCGATCCCCAACATGTCTACACAGCCAGTCCCGTGCAAGAAGCCACTAGCCTTCCAGGACCATCATGATTTAATGTTTATGGGTAGCGTTTCTAGAAATCCTCATGAGACTCCCAATAAACAGACATATCCTATCTATGTGGAAAGGTATTTGTGTTGTAGAGGTTCAATAATATATAGTGGACGAATGTATTAATTCATGCATATAATGATCTAGCAAGTAAGGTTATTAATTTGTAATTTTGGCCTCGCGACTTTTTCAATTTTTCCTCAGTATACCGCAGGCCATTCATTTGTCATAATATTTTCCATACGTTTCAACCTTTCAAATCAAACTAAATGGTTGATTACCCATTACGTACACCATTACTCGACCAAGATTAGTTTTCCATGATTTGCATATAATATTCATGTGTATCTTTACAACCTTAGACAGTTTCAGCAAATATTACGTTAGTTTCTTTCTTTTGTCAGTTAAATAAGCAGGCCAAAAGTTGACAAAAAAAAAAAAAAGCAGGCCAAAATGGGAGAGAGAAATGTTCGCACTCTTGGCTCCATTCAATCAAAGATAATGTATTACAGATGATACACATTGGCTAGCAGCTAGTAAAATGCATAGTTGTTCGAGAAATGTAAATTAATGTTAACTAGTTTCTGGAGAGTGATCATAGTACTGTCGCAACTGAGAAGATCTGGTGTTATAATAAAAAATAGTTTGAAGAAGACCATAAGATGATCCAGCCTAAACAAGTCAGGTCGAGAACATTCAAATCGTACACCTGTCCTCTGAATCTTTAATAGAACACTTTCACGTACTATATCTGTATACCAAACATGCATTTGTTTTATCTGCGTACGTGGCATTGTCCCTGCATTGAGGTGAAATATGCGTCTTCCCTAAAAGAATCTCCTTATTCTTTTACCAAATGGTTCGTCACTAAAATGAAATCAACCACGTTTATATTACTGTTGACCCTAAAAACTACTAAGTCTATGTGGCGCGCAGGCCAAGTAATTAATAAGCTAACTAAATCCTTCGGTTGTATGCGGGCGTGCCAACTCGTCGGCCGAGGAGTAAAAAATGTTGATGTTGAGTTGGGTGTGCTACTGACTTCTTGATCTTGCGACTGTGGCCGAGGAAGAAACACGTCTCGGCCTTTGGGTTCTAGAGCCTGAAAACAAGGCTGCTAGTTCTGCGAAGTTCAATATCAAATTCGGCTTTCAATGTACCGAATGTAGTAACTTGTAACACCTCATTTCGCCGAGAAGGCTAATGAGATGACCTCTGCCAATAAGGATTCGAAAATCCTTCTCGACCGAGACTTTGATAGATAACCAGTCGACCCTGTCGCAGTGCTATTTATCCAAACTGAAGGTGCTTCACGGTCGGCTGATTCTACAGCAACAGTGTTGTTTATCCAAACTGAAGATGTTCGCTGGTTGCTTTCACAGTGCTGTTTATCCAAATTGAAGATGTGTTGGCGAAAAAGGAAAATAAAAATCTCAAAGTTGTTGAGAGGTTTCGCGTAAAGCGAGGGTTTGCGCAGGACAGTTTGTGTGTTGAGTTGGAGATGCTTTTTCCTATTGCCATTGCCTCTGTATTTATAGGTTTCAGTTCTTGCTTGGCACGGCCTGGTAACTTTGTAGAGTTCAATCGGGATTCTGTCACCTTATCCACATAATATGCGATATCCAAAATCCCAAATCCCTGATGTAGACCACGTGCATTTGTGATAATGGCCCCAGGGAACAATTTTGATATTTGATGGTATTGTACCCTGCATATCCTTCCCTCAATGCCACGTGCTCCTTCCTTATCTTTTGCATGGCACCAATCTAAACCAAAGATTGGTTTTGATGATGTTTGATTGCCTCGCAAGCTGTGAATCTCTATGGTCCAACTTCCATGCACCAATGACATTCCAATTATCCCAAACCACGCATCTTGACTTTTCAAACCCCATCTACCATGCTGCTCCAATCTAATAACAGGAATCCCAAGTTCACTTGAATTGTACTTATTCGAAGATATAATGTTGAAATGATTCAAATTAAAAGATAATTATTATGATAAAAACCATAATATTATCCTTTAATAGTAACAAAATTATATTTATTTTTCATCCAACAATTAAGAGCTATACTCATTCAACGGTTTAGGTTACTCGGGCCGATAGTGTAAAATCGGGTCCAAACAATAATCTTCCAATTCTACCTTCCAATTATTCAATTTCAATATTCCAACTATCCAGAAATAAAGGTTGAGAAAGGGAAATATACCTTTTTTTTTTTTGGTGAAGAGTGCTCGAACAAGATGAGAGGGAGAGATCGAGCTCAAACGGAGAGAGAGAGAGAGCTGGAGAGTGGAAGCGGGCGAGAGACAACAGCGAAGGAGAGTTTTAGGAGAAAGATGCAAAAGGGTAGGTTTGGAAATTTGAAAGTTTCATTTAATGAACACTGTTCATCCGTGTTTTGGCGATAAAAAGCCGGTCTTGTGAAGTTTTTTTCATCCAAAACTGTGAAAATTAGCTGTTTTAAAATGTTTATCAAATACATTTTAGTGCTCAACTTTTTTTGGTACCCACTTTTTTTATAATTTAAGCTTAAGCCAAACTGGTACTAAGTTCATTAGAGTAGCTTACTTCGATATGAATTCAAAGGATAATGTAATATTACAGATAATACAGATTGGCTAGCAGCTAGTAATAAAATGTGTACTACATGTTCGAGAAATGTATAAAAATTAATGTTAACCAGTTTCTTGAGAATGATCGGAGAAATCTGACAACTGAGAAGCTCTGGCGACTTCAAGCAATTTGATCAGTTTCTTATTTCCACCTATGCGGGCTTCATCAAGTGGAGTTCTTCCCCATCTGCAATCAAGAAGTAGACTAGTTATTTAAAAATGGATTCAAGGAGACCATAAGATGTCGTCCTTGCCTAGCAAGAGAGACTTACAAGGATCAAATTCACTACCATTGTTGCGCCATGGGCCACCAATACAAGGCCATGTGGAGAGAGCCGTGCATATGCTCTTGTATTAGTGGCTCAAGAAGCCACGTTGGCGATGAACCCATTCCATATAACTCCTCCGGCCTAACAAGCCAGATGAGGTACATTCAGACCTTACCTGTCCTTTGATAGAACACTTGCTCCTGCTTCTAAAAGGAATTCTGCCATTGGATATAAGCCTTCTGAAGCAGCTACATGAAGTGGTGACCGCTGATCATAATTTTTCGCATTCGGGTTTATGTCATTGGATAAAAGCCTTTTCAGAAGCTCCATATTCCTCCTTGCTGCCGTGGTACAGAGAAAATCACCGGCATCATCAACAGCGAGTGATGCCCCCGCCTTAACAAGTAAAGAACCTACTTCGTCGTGCCCATTTTTAATGGCTTCAAGTAAAGGAGTGTTCCCATATTTATCTAATATTACGTACAGTGACACACAAATTAATCAACAATAATTGTAATAACTAGGAAGATTTACTCACAACATAACATGATCCAGTTAAAAAGTTCTCGTAGAGCTCCTTAGAGTATCACCTGACATCTCAGCGGCCGCTCCTTGTTCAATAAGGAAACGAGTGATATCAACAAACCCTTTTGATGCAGCAACATGCTGAGGAAACAAAATAAAATATATAGATATATATATTTAATACTGTTACAGATAAGAAAACATAGTAGTAAAGTTGATTATATTATGCCAACATTTCCAGTTTATAAAGATCAAATTATAGCTTAAGCTTAGGCATCTAAATACGTACCAAAGGCGACCTTCCGTCATAGTCCATCTTGTTGGGATCAGCTCCAGCTCCAATCAAACGTTTTACTCGATAAAAATCTCCATCATAGGCAGCACAATTTACTTTCATAACTAACTCCATTTCATGCTTTCCAATATATAGGATGATATCTGATTCCAAAAGCTTGTTCCGGGTATTCACGTCTTTTCCCTAGAAGAAGAGAAGTGATTAGCAGGTGGAATTTAAATTTTCATTTGCAAATTACCTGGGCATAAGCACTATCTTTTTGTGAAAGAAGCAAGAAAGCGAAAAAAGACCACGAAAGTTTTCGAGTCTATTTACCTCGAGGAGGTTGTTTAGGATAATCCGCCCATCTAAGAAATGTATATCCAGGATTTCCCTAAAAGATTGTTTATCAAGTCGCAAGACCCTGCACAGTTGACTAGCCCGAACAGAATATGGCTGGGGAGTATTACAAAGAAAAGAAACCTCGCCAAACGAGCTATAGGTTTGCAGGCGCTCAAGGAGCTCTTCACTTTCACTGTCTTCATCCCTTCTCACCTTCTCCTGTAGACAATATCAAAACAAATCCGTTAGGATTTAGGAATAAAATTGAACATATATTCTGGTATACAATAGACTACATAGAGTAACTATTAATTTACCCTTGAGGGGTCAACAAATAATATGAACTTGCAAACCTGAAAGAGTAAACAGAGAAAAAGGTGCTTCATTTGTGCGTGCAGCCGCGCAGGCTTTCGCATATACAACAAATGAAATAGATTTGTGTGTGTGTGTGTGTACTAATAGTAGCCAGCACCAATCATGGTGTTTGAGGATTGCACGCATGCAACTAATCAAATAATCAACAGTATGAGTTATAGTAAGAGCAGAGGAACACAAAGATCAATGTGTGAGTAACTAAAACAATTTAAGGATTAATTTTGATTAGTGAAGAATAAGCAATTAACATTGAAATGTCAAACTCATACCAGCTCCCCATGGCATACTATGTATAATTGATCCACTGCTTGTCCCTGCTCTATGATCACTTCTCCTGGAAGGAAAAACTCCTCATGAATTTTGGTTGCCTGATAAACGCAAAACATAGGTTAAATTTCTTCCTATGGAAGAAGTAATTTTAGAATTCTAATCATTTTGGAACTGAGCACTATAGACCCCTTTTATTTCTCCCCCTACACACCCTTTTATATTTCTGTCATTCAGTTTTAATAAATTAAAAGGGAATCAAGGGACATAAATAAATAGGAGTGAGTATGCATAAGGAGAAAAAAATGTATGCAGAAATCATTCATGTGTTGAGGGTAAACAAAGGTGATGCACATATCAAATGATGACAGCATTTTGTTCATTTGTCCAATGCAAATACTGAATAAAATGGCTTACAATCTGCTTTATGAATCCTAAAGAGCATCCCTTAAAAAGAGAAACTTCTTTGATGTATGGTTCATATAATTTCTGTGAAATCTGCAAAGTAGAAACAAATAGATTAATTTTAGTAGATTTCAGAATCAGTACAGCAGTACCAAAAACTTGTCAAATAGGATAATCAAATGTAAGATCCCAATTATTTGATACGTACTAAAATTTACTAAAATTTATTGGATAATAAAAAATAATTTTTCAGGAAAATGTACTAAAATTTATTGGAGATTTTCATGATTCAGCAAATGGTTCAAACCGGAAGAACAGTCAAGAACAAGAAACATATTATTTGATCAAACTCCCAATTCACAGATTTCGGCCTGACTTTAAAATTAGGCAGTGATCAGTACCTTGCTGCGAATGGAGGCTGGAATATCCTGAAGAACAGCCGCTTCGGTGTAGCTACGATCATACTGTAACCTCAAATGATTTTTGATATCCTTACTTATCCCCCTATCAAGCCTGTTTTTCTTCATGTATTTTATAAGTTCGGCCATCTTGTCCCTAAACTTTTCAGTTTTTGATCCTTTTACAATCAGTGCGGTAATGTTACCCAGCAGATAAGCACCCAAAAGCATGTCAAAAGACACATAAAACATGATGAATATCATTTCCCTCACATTCACTGCATGTATCTCTCCATATCCTATAAAAGATACAAAAACAAAAGAAGAAAAAGCATACATTAATTAACCATCTCTAAAATGAATTGGCGTATGTATAGTAAAAGAGAAGAATGTAGTTGCAACGGGATCCCAAACCAATCACGGATTGTCACATGAGAATGTTAAAATACATGACAATACATGATTTATGTGATTAACTTGGAATACTACCGCAATGACAACCTAGTGTAAGGAAATTAAGAAGCTTAAACTAATGAACAAATAAGTGAGATAATTACCAACGGTTGCCATGGTAACAACGGCGAAATAGAGTGAGGTAACGTAACGCTTCCAAAGGTCAATTTCTCTAAAATGGGAATAGCTATAGTCACCCATCTTCAAACTTCCAATCCATGTGTATCCTTCCCGTGACGGAGGTATGGTAGTAGCAAGGTAATAAAAGATGCAGGCAGCCGTGTGTGTGCTATAAAGTTCCACAACAAAAAGTTTGGCAATTCTTGTAAAAAGGTAGTTGATCCTTATATCTTTCTCCAACTTCTCAAAAAACTCTGTTACTCTGCGTGCTCGACTTAGTCTTATCCATAACAGGTACCTCACTCCCTCTTCTTTCCCAGAAGCCTACACATCATAATCAATCTATTAATTACTTCATTAAGAATAACTAGATCTGGATTCAGTTGGAGAAAGACTTAGGGCATGTTTGACATTACTTCTCTATAAATATTATATAAGTTGAAATTCTTTTTTATAAACCCAAGTGCTTCCAATAGAAGTATCTGACATATGCTTATTCAAAAAATGTTTCGATGAGCTAAAGCGCTTCTTATTTTTTTTAACAAACACAAAATGTTTTTAGACCTTTCAAAATTCCCAAAGAAGCCACTTACTCTGAGTACGCTATATTGTGCTAATTTTCCAAACTAATAATTCAGATATGTTTTCAGATTCAATGGCGTCAAATTTAGTCTTTGTAGTTTGCAAATCTCAATTACAGAACATCCATTAACATATGTTAATTTCTTGTACGAAACTCGTTAATTAATCACTCTCCCATGTGAATGCACGAGACAATTTTGTACAATAAATTAATAGGACTTAAGAGTATGGGGTTTAACGGATGCCCTCGGACTGGAACAGTTTGCAAACAACTTAACCAAATCCGATGTAGTTGGAATACATGAAACGAAAATGGAACTTTTTAGAAACTACATAACTGAAAACGTGTTTTTGCCTACAATTAGTTAAGAGTAATACTACCTTGTAGATGGCGTCCCAAGGCAGACAACCGAGCAAATCAACGAGAAATCGAGACTTCAAGTAGCGGAGAGCGATGAGGTTGCGGTTGTAGACAATACGGTGCGAGTGAAAGTCTCGGTAGGCCACGAAGAAGCGTACGACGATGTCGACAAGGAAGGCCAGCTGGCCGGCGATGTCGAGCAGGAACAGATTCTCGGGCAGACCCCGGAAGAAGCCGAACTCCAATGGCGTGAAGAAGGACGAATAGACTGCCCATAGCAGAATGAAATGCGTCCACCCCACGTACAACCTGCATTTTCCAATATTTAGGGTTATGTTTTGGCGCCAACTTACAGCTTTGGGCTATTGGGCCGGTTCTAAACCCGACCCAACTTTTTGTCAAAACTATATTCATAAAGTTCATTTTTCCCCTCTCTTCTTGAGTACTATATATCGAAAAGGTTTTGCTAGCAGGTTCTATATAATATCATGAATTCCGTGAATTTTCTTTTCTTTCCTTCCCAAATGTGTGAATACAAAGACATTCTAGTTAGAAAGTTCCCACTTTGACCTACAACCTTCAAGAAAGTACAATCAGACCTCTGCTTGTAGTTGTAGGGTAGATACATACAATTAAGAGACTCACATTCTCATTTAGGTAAAAGACATACTATATGCATCTATATATCATGTGTATTAACTTTCTATATAATTTTTTTGTATCCAAACTTTCAATATAATTATAAGTGATAAATACAAGATTGTTGAAACAGGTGCGGTGACAACCTTTACCAAGTCTGAATCATTGTCGACCACCAGATCCGCTGGTCTGCAAGCTAACGCCTTACAACTAATTAATAATTTGAAAATGATATATAAGTAGGTTTCTCACAACTAATTAACCCTACACCTACATAATCCATTCATGATTTTTATTTATTTATTATAATCGATATTATTACTCTAATTAAGGCATTGTACTCGGAATACAATAGCTTGTAAATGAAAATGAAGATACTATTCACGAGAAAAATCTATCACTTACTAACCCATCTATAATTATGATTGATGATCCTAATGTACTAATTAAATTACCATTATGTGTTAACTGCAACTCATTACAACGCAGATTCTCTCCGGCCGTGAACACAGATCTAGAAAACACATCTCATACATATATTAGCCAGAGAAATTTGAAGGTACATGTACTTACCAGTTATCAGGATGAATAACGAGTCGATCAAGAAACGAAGATGCAGACGATGATCTGCTTCCAGTACTTGTACTGCCAGGAGTAGTAGTAAGAGTGGTGGAGTCGCCGGCAGTCGTACAAGCGATAAAACGCCCTAATTTCCACAGCCACTGTTTCTTAGAATCATCATTAATATGCTCCTCCTCATAATCATCATCATCCTCAAACGTCGACCCCTCATCTTCGTACTGATCATGAGCACCTCCTCCTGACGATTTTCTCCTTTCAGCTCCATGCATTTTTTATCTTCCTCAGATCGACCTCTTTCAATAATAACAAACTTGTGAATAAAGTTAAATGAGAGCCAAAGCCAATGTATATTTAATGCCAATGATACTGTTGTTGTTTGATACCAAGTAATAAACAGTAACTTTTTGTGGTGACAGATAGAATCCAGGCACTACTACTTTTCCCGTCTTTTTATCAGATAAGGAAAGCCTATTTTGGGCCGCTCATAAATGTTTTTACGTATCCCAAGAACAATCTTCTTGAGCATCCAAGTAATGAAAATTCATCCAATAAAGAATAAAAGAGAAATGCTAAGGAGATTATTTTAAAATGAGATTTTTTATGAACTTTTTATTACCTTACAGTTTAACGTAATTTCTGTGTCAACGTTATAAAAATTGTGTCAAAAACATAAGGTGACATAAAATATGAAGAATCCCAATTTTGATAAAGTCTCAACATTTCTCAAGGGGAAACTTTATATAGCTTTGTAAATATTAATTAGGTTACAAATATTTATTGATTAGACGATCGATAGTTTAAACTATTTTAATTACATATATGATGATTAAAATTTGAGCTGCCCTAGCTAATTGACGTCTGCATTACGTAACATATATAAATGAAGAAAAATATAGTAGCAGTCCTACATCAATAGTAAGATGTTAATATTCTTGGTGTTTTATTTTTTATTGTAAGATGCTTCGAAATTAATTAACAGAGTTGAAGACTGATAGATAAACATGGAATCTATACTGACCTTAATTTCAAATGGATGGGACACCACCTCATATCGCATAAATATATATATATATATATATATATATATATATATATATAAAGCAAGGGAATACTCCTGCACTTTTTCGCATAAATATATGACTATACGTTTCCATCTGTACGTTTATATACAGAATTGTAACTTTTTTTTCAAGTTACAAGAGAAATACATTGGTCCCAAATTCCTAATACCTATAAAATAAGTTTTAGGATTTTGATCATTTGTTTGTTATGTCCGAGTGGTTGGGCTCGTAACATTCTCAAGTCTTTGGACTTCATGAATGAAAACATTGTTAAGTATTTTATATCTAATTTCTGCTGGCCCAAAGCTTGGTGGCTCAAAAATTTCAATCAATTTATTAAGTTTAAATCCCAAGAATTTGTAACGATAAAAAAAAGTCCCTAGAAATTGCAAGAGTGTGGGTAGCCAGAGGGTGGGGACGGTTCGGTACTGTCTGATTCTATTCATCAATCGAAATTGAAATCGGTATATATGATTCGATTTGGTTTTTGAACATAGTTTATTTTATTACGGTTCAATTCGATTTTGTGGTTCCACGGTTTTTATGCCCCCTTAGCCAATTAGCCCAATTCGAAAGAACAAAATTGCAAGAAAGATCCTATGGGAGAACATCAAAGCACTATTCCGTGCTTAACATGCTTAATTAAAACAAAAGAAAATCAACCTCATCACTAATAAGTTTTGCTTAAATTGAGCTCGTTCATGCCCATACATATGTGTGTGTAGAATTATGACTCTTGAGTCGATGGTTCTATTTTAAAAACATATTATCATCGTATCTAGTAAATGCCAATAAAAAATACTACATCAAAGGTAAACTCTTCATGAACTCAGTTACCTCATGTATCATGCACAATATATAATTTTAGCCCACCTCATTCTAAAATTCTAACTACGTACATACAAATAACTTGTAATTTCTATATGTCACGTTTTTTGTTTGATCGATTCATTTTATACTACAAGTTCCACACATTTGAAACTTCTCTTTGGAGATATATGTATATATATTAAATAAAGTTAAGCCACTCTTTAAAAAATTCCTATTTCTGCCTTGCTTACTCACCGGATTATTCATATATTCATAATTCATCGATTAAAGAAGTTTTCATATTTAATAATAAATAAATAAACTTAAAAAAATAAAAAAAAATAAAAGACGACAATTATAGGTTTCAACGTGGAATGGATTGGCATAATTAAGCAGTCCCAATGTAAGAATCCGGATTCTCTTTGCGAGAATCCTGATGATATATGAATTATATCTCTTTATTATATGATGTACGGTCAGATATTATTTAAATTTTTTTATTTAAATTGAGTACAAATATAATATGATGAAAACTGATCACACAATGTACAATGAACGAACATAATTTAGGATCCTCTGTTGGCTAATATAGGACGACACTCACAGTCACGCTTGGTAATCATAACACAATTTGGGACAGACGTTGATTAAGGAAGCAGTGAGCCAAGCAACAGCTCACAGTACGTGACAAAGAAAGCCCTAGGCCCCCTTCCATCTTCGTCAGGACTGATGTTCAGATGTTACGTGCAACTTGCTGCTTAGGCCATCTACAGTAGGATATAATATATTAAATCTATAAAAGAATTACACTTTTATAGTAAATTGAACTTATGAGTTCAATATATTAAGCTTATGAAAACGATTTAAATACATTAAATTCACATTAATGTAATTGTGGCGTTATAAATATCAAACTCAAATTACCTTATTTATATATATAGTTATTTTGAAAACATTAGAGCTAGAGAGTGGTATGTGCGATATTGTTATTTATTTCTTAATTATTATTATTATGGATGAAGTTGCTTTCGTGCACTTAATGTTGACGTCACAAAGTTATAAGACAATAGCCAAATTGGCATCATTTATAAAAGAATAGCCCTCTTTGTCGCCATCCACCTCTGCAATTCAATTTTATCGGCCCCATGTTCTCCATTTATTAAAATTCAGCTAAGCTCTTATGATCGATTATTAATCACTTAACAAACGGTAGTATTTATATTTAGATGGTGGTGGAGCAGGTTAATGAGTTAGTAATAAAGTTATAACGTTGATAAAGGAAATTATTTGACGACTTAGATGCGCATGCATATTCATGCGGTAATTCATTGTTTAGGGTAACAACTTTTGACCAAAATGTGTATAAAAAGTATAAGAACATCTTCTAATATAAATACCAAGAGGAGGCGTAGGTAAAAAGTTCCACATTAAGAGGTTGGGTGACTCTTTATATTGTCAATTGGTTTTGTAGTGGAATGTCAACTTTTTTCATGGTAGCAGAGTCAAATTGGCTCACATGTGCACACATGCTCCATGTCACTTAATTTGTGTTGTTCATGTGTTTAGCTTGAAAATTCGCTATATTTGAGGGAGTGTAAGGATGTCAATGTAAAAGAGTACCATAATGGTGAATGGTGAATGGAGAAACCTAATGCTAGGAGGGACCAAATTAATTTTAAATTAAATTTGCAAATCAAATGATGTATCACCAATAGAAAATAAACATGTTAATTAACGCTAAGTAATAAACCAATAATCAATATCCATATCATTTGGTTGATAAAATTTTATTTAAAAATATAATCTTCTTAATATTATCCTTAATTTTATGATAAAACTTTAATTTATTTCGAACATAAAAGTTAATAAGTAAGAACATAAATATCGTAGCATCAATGTGCTGCTTTATATAATTACATGTAGCAGATGGAACAAGGACACTGATTAAGACAAGGGACACAGGGGCCACCTCATCAGTTAATTTAAACTTTAAAACCAAATTCAATGTATACCAATCGCACTCCAACCCAATGTGCCCTCTTTTGGAACTTGATGAGCCAACCTCCTAACCACAGAAACCAACGTAAACGGGCAGGGTTTGTTTAATCTAAACAAACTTAATTAAACCACGTTCCTAATTTTACTAACCATAAAAACAAAAAACGAAACCAACAAAAAAACCAATTTAATTAATTGTTTTGCGACTCAATCGTTACAAACGGTAGTGTGATCCGTTAATAATTTATTCATACATATTGGAATCTTGATGTCAAAGATGAGTGACGATCATAGTTGGTTTCTTTTTATAAAGATTTTGGAGATTCTCAAATTACATTTGTTTATCGTACATCATACGGTCAGAAATTATTATAAATTTTTTATTTAATAATTGAATATAAACATTACTTAACGAAAACTGATAGTATAAAATACGATTAACAAATGTAACTGAAAGATTCTTAAAATTTTCACAAAGAGAATATGACGGGAATCCTCCCTCGTCACAGATGGCTCCTCAACAGCCAACGTACCTAATTAAAAACGTCCAATAGAGCACATGGTGATTTGGCGATGTACATGATGAATACTATTTAAAACATCAAATCTTCTTTTGTTCTTTTCTTTGGGGCGGTTGCTAGATTGCTTTTACGTACCGCCATTGACATGGGCCTAATTCTCTATACGATAAGTGTCTCACTCTTTAAGCACGAGATATGGAAGATAGGCTAATGAAATGTTATTTTCTTGGTTACCCTAATCATTGTTTAAACATGATATATTTTTATTTTTTAACAAACGATATTATCTACACTAAAAGAATGAGTAGAAAAGTGGACTAAGCTGCATAATTGAATAACAATAATGTGATTCAAATTCGTCGTTTAGTGATAATCGAACATAAGATCTCTCACTTATAAGTGAAAAGGAATACACCAGACAGTAGTTCTAAGTGGCTAAACATCATATTTTTAAATGGGTATTGAGTTTCCACCCATACGTTCTGTGTTCGAAACTTACTCATTTATTAAATTATTGTAATCGTTTCGAATTCTCTCCATGTCATAATAATAATAATTAAAAAAAATGATATTCGTCTTCACTTACAAGTGGAAGATTTTATATTCAACTTTCTTAAATAGTGAGTTCGATATCTAATTATTATGACATACTCATTGTGACCTGACCCAAATTAATCATCTCAAATTAAAGCTATTGATTTAGTAGTGCATATCCTTTAAACTTGGAATGAAACCTTGGGTTAATTTCCCCCATTCCATTCATAGAAAACTAGACCTTTCTATAAGTAGTGAGAATTATCGCAAAGTGATGGAGTAGCTAGCTAGAAGGTGAGCCAAGTGCCACTTGCAATAGTGAGCATTGATTGGTGGTTGGCTGCTTTGGCCTTACATTATCTTCAGATTCATCTGAATATTTCCTAAAATTTTAATTTGATTACTTTTAAAA